AACTCTAAATCATTGCTGCAAATTCAATAGAAGAGTAGAGTTGGTCCTCATTTATAACAACCTTTCTTTCTTTTTTTTTTTAAAAAAAATGATGATTAGTGGCTCTAAAAGGGAAAATGTTTGAGGGTCACAATTTTTGTGGCCACAATGGCTCAAAACATTCCAAAACGATCGTTTTGGCATGTTTTGAGCCATTGTGGCCACAAAAATTGTGGCCCTCTAGCATTGTTGCTCTAAAAGTGCTCTATTACGCTGGCATCATTAAAAAAAAGAAAAGAAAAAGTCAAAATATCACATCAAGATGAGATTCACAATATTGTCATCTCATTAGTGTAGCTTTAAAACTGTTATTTTAGTGGTCCAAAAAAAGGTTGGAATACCTTTTTTGAGGAACTTCCATCACCTCTAATGTATTGTGATTGACTATTTTTTTATTTTTTGTTTTTTGTTTTTTGTTTTCCTTTTATCTCTGATTGACATGTGTTTATAGGGTTGTAGGAGTAAAAAAAAAAAAGTCTGTATCATTTTTCTTTTTTTAATTATTAAAATTTATAATATTTCTCAACTTCTTGTAATTATTTTTTCTATTTGTCACCTGCGAATTATATTCTCTTTTTTTAAGATCTATAGGTGCTTAAATTTGATGAATTTGCAGCCCCTAACGTGAATGCTCGAACACGCTTGAGCGCTTTAGGGATGGGGGTTTAAGCCAGGTTTGGCCAGTACTAAAAAATTTTAAAAGTCAAAAAATTATATAAAAAGTAGAAAAATTATTTCTATTCACAAATAAAAAATATTTTATACATTTTTGTAATACAAAAGTTTGAATTACACTGTCAGCCGTACTGCCCTAGTAGGAAAGCAGATCATACACTTTTTGGGCAAAAAAAAAAACTACATATGTAAAGCCACAAAATTTGATGGTAATGTTGGGCCATTGGGGGCCTACTAAGGGTTCTGTTTTGATAATCCAAACCGTTTAATATGTAAAACTTGTTGAGTACTATATGCCTGTAAAAAAATTACGTTGATCGGATATTGTTACATATATGATCAAATTAGTTTTGTATAAACAAATGGATGGTATAATAGTTAACTGTTGAAAAAAACTAATCCGATTATATAGGTATCAATATCCAATCAACGTAATTTTTTACAAGCATATAATACTCGACGAGTTGTACATATTGAATGGTTCAGATTATTAAAATGGGACCCGTGGTAGTCCCAACGGACCGATTATTAAATTGTAACTATCATACCATCCATTTGTTTATACAAATTAGTTTTGTATAAACAAATAGATGGTATGATAGTTACAATTTTTTATTACACATTTTTTCGTAAAAAGAAAAAAAGTTAATCCAAACATCCATATTTTTTTCTTTAAAAAAGATAAAAAATACACTTATTTAGGACATCCCAAACAACCCCTACTGTTTTGCCCTTGGCACAATAGTAATTATTGTGCTTTAATTTGAAATTTATTATGAATTTATTTTTATGATCCAAATGGTTCATTTTGTAAGGTTCGTTGAGCATTTCATACCTACCAAAAATTATATTCATCAGATATCAATAACTATGTAATGGGATTACATATAAAGAAAAACTTATTATCTATTTTTTTATGATAAATGTAATTCAATCATAAAGTTATTGATATCTGATTAATATGATTTTTGATAGACATAAAGTACTCAATAAACTATACAAAATAAATAATTCATACCATAAAAATAAATTCATAATAACCTTTAAATTAAGACACAACAATTACTACCCTACCTTTTAGCATAACAGTAACTCCTCATCCAGGACGCCTTTGGCCTTTGCTTGACGCTGCACCTCTTTTGCACTTCTCACACCCGCGAGCAAGGATCCTTGTACTGGTTTCTTACTTGGTGTGTCATTGAACTTATTTTTAGTTTTAATTTCGACAATTCGAATCATTTACATTTTAAAATTTATCAGGCATATTATATTTATAAAAAATCAAGTTGATCAAATATCGAAAATCATGTGAACTAAAAAATTTATTAAACAATAAAATTGTTTATTAAAACTTTTTTAATAAACGATTTTTAGTTCTTTCGAAATTTGATTAACTTGATTTCTTACAGATATAATATACATGATAAATGTTAAAATGTGAACGGTTCGAATCATTAAAATTGAATCCAAAAATAAATCTAATGACCCACCAAATATAGAGCCAAGAAAAGAATCCAAGGAGAGGATGCTTACTCCACACCCACACCTTGGGTGCCGTTGTGGCTTTATCTCTATCCTCATGCTTGACCTCATCCTAGGAGATATGCACCTTCTTAAGATGTCTCCACTAATACAAACCTCCATAGAAAGACATATGCATCCTTTCTTGTAATACCTTTTTGTTGCGACTTCCATCTCAATTTCTACGTTCAAAGTTTCATTATGTGAACACCAACAACATGTTGTCTTCCTCTCTGGCTAGTATTCTTTGCAATTGTTATTCACACTGTTCACCCATAACTTGTATTACTCGCCTAATGATTGACAATAGCTTCACATATGATAACATATCCAATGAACTTGTACAAGTTTCTCATCAGAAAATGTTTGTCTGATTGACTTAATTTGTTACTAAAACCTTAGTTGCATCCATCGATGATTGGTATTTTGCAGTTAATTTAACCGTATTGTTCCTTGATCCCCTCTACCACATGAATTCACTTTTGATCTTCCTTGATTCCATCCAATACTTTTAAACCATTCATTTGAAAATTTTATGCTCACCCATTAATCCATACCGTTTGAAAACCATGTGAATTAATCCCATCTTGAATTTTTTAAAATAAATTATAAATACATCTCTCAAAATTTACTTAAAATACGGATTGCCCTATATAGTTCTGAAAATTACAAATACATTTTTGTTACAATTTTTTTATTTAATTGAATTAACGGAAAATACAACAATAAAATGATAATTGATAATTAAATTGATGATTTATTAATAAAAAGAATAATTTGATATACAATTAAAAACTTGAAGGGACGAAATGTAATTTTTAAAATTATAAAAAAAATCGTATTTTAAATAAATTTTAAGAAATGTATTAATAATTTACCATTTTTTTTTTATTATACAAGCGACAATCTAATTGAAAATTCGGAACTTCTTGATTGTTAATGGGGCCACCACACTAGATTGCAGCCCTTTGACAAACTAGAAACCTGATGCTACTTTCCAAGGCAACATAGAGAACTATTAAACAAAGCTTCCTCGCCAGCAAATCCTAACAATATATGTTAGGGTCACGGTCTGTAATTGACACCAAATGAATGACACAAGGTTTTGATTTTGTTTAAAAAAAATTAATCAATTATTTTTCATGTGTCCAACTTTCTATTTTTTGAGGTTTCATTTAATGTGTCCTAAAATTTGAGAAGTTAAAAATTTTAACCATTACTTTCATTTCATGTGACCAAATTGAAACTTCACATGAAATTTACAGTTAATATTGTTCAAATTGAAATAAAATGAATTAAAGTGAAATTTAAATCTAACAATAAGGGCATGTTTGGTTAGAAGGATAATAGCATAGAATTAGGATTGTTAATCCATGAACTCATAATCTTATGTTTTATTGTAAATTTTATAAATCTGATTACATGTATGACAGACATTCAATCCAACAAAATTGACAAATTTTTAATATTGTAATAGGTTGAGAATCATAATTTCAAATATGAAAGAAATAAATAAAATGACTATATAATAAATAGTTATCTCACTAATTTAATTAGATAACTAATTTTACACTAATTCATAGAATTATTAATTATTTCACTATTAATCGTGTTAGTCAAATAAGGCCTCCGAGTGAAGCATAAAGATTATTTATACTAAGACTCCCTCAACTATTAACGAATATCACTTAAATCCCTACATTTCGACTCACTTAACTATAAAAATGTATGGCTAACCCTTGCAAACCACCTCCAAAAAGGATGTATTTGTATCATTTTCATAGTTGAAATTAGGGGAATAAATTGTTCGATTTGATCAGCGTTGAAAATAAGTTTAGCACCAAACTAATTTTTTCAATTTTGATGATTGAGAAACCAATATAGACCGTATACTACTATTCAATTTTATTGGTTTGGTGTAAAAGAGAAATTTGCTTGAATTGTTGAAGGGATTTATAAAAACTTCTAGAATCTTACATTAAAAATAAAAGAAAACATATTAAAATTGCTCTATAAATATTTTTCTCCCTAATTTTATCTTAAAAATGTATTATATTAGTCACTTATCATATAATGATCAACAAATTAAAATATAAAAATACTTTAATACAATATCCAATCAATTCAGTCTGTATCTGTATAAAAAATTTCAAAACTGAAACATGCCGCATATTATGAAAAACAGACTGGAAAATAAAATTTTGGTTGATTTTGATCGGTCAATTCAGTTTTATCAATTTTTCTTATATTTCTAATTAAAATGGTCAATATATATGAATTCATAATGAGAATAATAAAATAATATTGGTGAATAGTTGAATGAATCAATTAATCCAAAGTATACTCCACCCTAACCCTAGCCCCAGCCCAATGTAGCCCACGTCCACCCATAGTTTAGGTTTCTGCAACTCCTGGAGACAATTGATTTATTACTGACCCTCCTTGGCTCATTCACAACCTCAAGGATCATCTAAAGTTTGAGCTCAAGTAAGATGTCAATATGTAACCTAAAACCAAATCAACTGCCGTGTTCAACTTAGATTGTGCAGTTGTCGGCTTAAAAATCACTATTGGCGGTCATTCCAAGCTAGTGTGTACCTATATATAGAATGAGTGCATTTAATCAATCCGAATATACACAAGTTCAATTAGCCAAGACGCGATTAATAAACTTGATCATACTATTGTCTTCATCCTATTCCGGCACACCTAGATGTTTTGAATGAAGAAAGCAATTAAAAGATAATACACAAAGATCAGAAAAATGTAGTCACCCAACATTTTCTACTATTTTTTTCTTTGCAAGGATATACTCATTAGAAGTGTACTTCACATAGAGTAGTGTACATTTTTCGTCTCATATGGTTCTACCATTGAAAATGGTATTCATCAATTTGTAACAATTAAAGTTACTTGCTTCAAATTAAAATCATACAACTATAGAATGATGAATAAGTACAAGGAAATTAAAATAAAACAACAGTCGTAGAAAAAAAAAAAAAAAAAAAAAAAAGGTACAAACTATAGAAGACTATACTTAGGAACAGCACGATGCAGTTCGGGATCCTTCTGCTGGTCTGTCCACAAGAACCATCCCTGCCGGGTTCTGAGCCGGCTGAGCTCTAGGCAACCTCTTAGCTGTTTAAAAAGTTAAATTAAATTATAAATTAATTCCAAGCAGTGGGTAAATGGCAATGAGACTTTTGAAAGTTTAAGCCTCAAACACCACAATGGGGGCGCAACCCTATCCACATGGAATATATAAAAAGCAAAGCAAAAAACAAAAAACATATATCTACAACGACTCTACGGGGATACATGGCTCAAGTTGGGGAGGTATTGGGTTCAAGTCTCCTTGTCTACATTTGTTCCTTGTTTGCATTCTATTTTTCTATATGTTAGGATGATTGACATTGCATGTAAGGAAGGGTGTCGGAGACCTTAATTTGCATTGTTTTCCCCTTTCCTAACAGGCTGTTGGGCAGATTAGTAATGATCTAAAAATACAACTCCCACAACAAGTCAACAAAATTACGTAAAGAGGAAGGTAAAATTTTCCTAACCCCCAAAAACAGGATGAATTAAAATTTGATCCCCTAAAATTTGACTCTTTTCTCACTTTGGTCCCTAAACTACCAAATTCTTTACTTTGGTCCAAATATCAACGACTGTTATACTTCTGTGACGGCAAATGCCACATGGCTTGGGTTCTTGACCCAAACCCAACCCATATCTATAGGCAATCTATAGAAATGAGTAAATCACACTTTTAGCCCCTAAAGTATGGGCCTTTCAAATTTTGGACCTTAAAGAAACAAAATTCCCATTTTGGTTCCTAACCCAACAAAAAGATTGTCTCACTCCAATAAACAAACAAACAAACAAACAAAAAAATAAAACAAAGAAAGAAGTTTCGCCCAATTACAACTTGCCACATCATCTATTAAAATGAGGCCTCACAACACTTGAACCTTCACTCTCCCTTCACTTTCTCCTTCTCACCCCTCTTCTATGCCTTCCAACCCTACTCCCCACAAGCGACCAGGTCCCATCCCTCACACAACTGACCATCTTTCCCCTCCCAACCCACCACCTAATCTCCTACATTAGCTCTCAGACTTTAATTTGCAGCCTCTTTGTTCCTCAAATGACGCAAAATTTTTCACTTCCATCCGCTATAAAAATTGGCTTTTGAGATTGAATAGTTTGGTGATGGGTTTTGGAATGGGGATAGTTTTGAGTTTAGGTTTGGATTTAGGGACCAAATTGGAAAATCTAAATTTTTTTTAGAGACTAAAGTGAGAAAACATAATCTATTGAGGACCAAAGTGGAAACTTAAACCCAAAGGGTTTGGCCTAGTGGATGAGGCCTGGGACTTGGGGGTTTGCTCCCTCTAAGGTCTCAAGTTTGACTCCTCTTGCCAACAAACTTTTGGGGCCACGGACCACAAGGAATAAACTTGTTTCGGAAGATTTGTTTGGGTTGTAGGGACTTAGTGTCGTGCACGCAAGTAGGCCCAAAATACCCTACATACCAAAAAAAAAAAAAAAAGTGGGAACTTAATTTTTTGAAATTCCAAAATTGCCTCTTAACCGTGACGGAGTTGGTGACTAGACCAAAGTGGGAAACGACAAATAGTTTGGGGACCAAAATGAGAAATGTCCCACACTTTAGGGGTGGAAGTGTAATTTACCAACAAAAAAATAAGTCAAACATATAATGCCTTTCAAACACAAAATTTTGACCTCTCGATATTTTCGAAATAACTCTCTGGACTCCTCTCACTCCACATGCACTATACAAGGCAAAGCGGAGCCGTATCTCATGTGTTTTGAAGCAACACCCTGGACAACCTCCAACTCCATAAAGCAAACAACTCCCAAATTAAATAAGGCATCACCAATTCCACACCAAACACACAACTCCCAAATTGAATAAGGCATCACCAATTCCACACCAAACACAGAGAACACCATACTCCACAAATGTCTGGGAGGTATTTGAGGGAGGTCTTTCTAGACCTTATTGCGATGATAACCAATACAGAAGGCACAGTGGAACAGTTTTGAGACCCGTTTCCTATGGGTGTTGTATGGTCCCCTATTTCTTGAAGATCCTTCAACAGTTGGAAGGTGGAGTCTCTAGGAATTTTTCTTGGGATGCTGGCGGAGACACTGCTTAAAGCAAGAGTGTAGGATACACTACTTTGGAAAGGAACTAAGAATGACCCCTACACTTTTTTAGTTGTTTCCTTCTGTTGGATGATGTCTGGAGGAAAGAATGCGGACTTCCCTCGGAAAGGGATTTGGCGATCGAGAGCCGCCTTAAGGTGGCATTCTTTGCTTGAACAACAACGCGGAAGCTATCTTGATGACAAAATTAAGAATCATAGCATGCACGGTTTTCCATTGAAGCCCTTTACCCCCTAACTTCTAAATATAGCGAAATCACTATCTTGTGATTTTGAACTAAAATGCAATGATGATTTCACTAACAGTAGATGTAAAATGACCAGGATACCCTCTTCTTCACTAGACTAGTTCACTGGAATTTGGGCATGATTTTATTTTCACTAATTTCGCTTCTTGAAAGCAATTCTTGAACATACTTTTCCCAAACGTTCTTTTTCTGTATTATTTTCATAAATAAACATAACATAATCGAAAACTAGAAAAATAAAACAAACCACCTTCATGTGGGATCAAATATTCAAAGAAGAAAGATTGAGAAGAAAATGTCCAGCTCACTACCAAATTCCAAACCATCTATGGTCATTAGCCAAGAATATGCTACTATCCCCATGTAGCAGTAAAGAGACTTAGAAACACACCTATTTCATAGAATGCATCATTGACATTAGCGGCAGTTTTGGCAGAGGTCTCCACGAAAAAAAGACCATTTTCCTCAGCATACACACGTGCCTCCTGCAAAGTAAATTGTTAGAAGCAGATCAAAGAAGCAACTAAGCAAATAACAAGACTTGGGGAAAATACATAAAATCTACCATCATATATAGAAGTCTGCTTGTGAAAGTTTAAGCAAGTCACTTGGTAAAATATGACGACAGTGAAACAAATGAACACATAAGAACCATGCAGTAACAAAGTGCTAAAAACAACAATCATTGCAAAGAACAGCAAAACATAGTTTCATAAAGTTACAATGGTCTCTCCACCATATAAACAATGGGTTTTAGCACATCAAATGCGACAAAAAGATCAAAGATTCTATATTTTGCAAAAATACATCCAATATTATTCAACTCCTTTCTCCAAAGGAAGGAAGAGAAATCAGGTTAATTTTATAAACTTTCAGAAGCTTCTGTGAGAAAACAACCTTAACTATGATCCAAGTTTAATCCCAAGTCAAAGACTTCATTTTATCCCTGATCCTGAACTTTAAACTTTGTATTGCTTGTAGAAGAGGATATTCATCTTGTGTTTAAAGATTTATAGATTAATTCGTCTACCATGGATAGCAATGATTGATTTTGGCCAATATAACTACATACTTTATGGACATAGCTAGAAGCCATAATTATGCTATCAAGGATCCAGGAAATTAAATGGAAAACATGTTCCTAAAGAAATAAAAAAAATGTTTTCCTCCCACTTTTCCATTTAACAATTAAGCTGTGAGATGTTCACTGCATATCTAAACTTGTCAGAAAATTAAGTAATTTGCTAAAACATTGATGTCTGTTTTTCAAATCTTTTTTACATTCATATTGCATAGGGCAGCATTACTGCACAAGTACACGTCTCTTGGCCAATGTCCTATTGAACAAAGTACATTTATAATTGGCAGATAAGCGACTAAATCAATAAGAATATTTTCTACACTCCAGGGACCATTGTACACCAGCGACGTGAATGCTAACCACCCTATTTTAACTCGAAAGGTCATCAAACAGCCAGAGACTGCATAATATATGACAGAATTGTAGCTTGGCGACATCCCAAAGTCACATTTCAGGTCATGACCTAGAGAATGTTAAGAACCAGACGTAGCATTATCTTTCAGAGAACGATTCCATTTTTCATAGAATCACATTCAACTATGTTATTAATTCTTTTTAGTAATTGATCTAGAACTTTTATACAAAAGAATCAGCCATAAGTACAAAACTCAAGAGGCAGACCCTTGTATACACTAAAGAGGAAAACAAAAGTTCAACACAACTACATAGCAAACATTTTAATCAACATATCCCCAGCTCTCTGAAATTGCTCTATTTTTTCTCACTTCTAATGTTCCTGAAGTTTATACAGCGACTCGAACATTCCATTTTATATTATTTCAAGACTCCCTCCAGCTCTCTTTTTGTGCATTTTGAATCCTGTTAATTCATTCTTGCTAGATTTAACATAAAAGGGCATTCCAAGCCAATTTTCTTAATGTGCATGTAATTAATTTCCCCTTAAAGTAATTTGTAACTTGAGCAATTTTTACATCCCAACTCAATCTATTTCTGTTCAATAAGTACCCTAGACCCTTTTCACCACAGGAAACAATCTCAATATTGTTACACCCAAAGTATAAAAAATCTGAATTGTTCACTTGTTTTTCTTAACAATCACCAAGGCTCGGCAACAATCCGATTCTCCTGGAGATCAGAATTGAGCTTCAGATTCTGGCATTTGTTTAGCCAATATTGTTCACCATAACTCTGTCAATCTTGCTAAATGTATACCCTTGCATATCTTTACACACACACACACCCCTAGAAATTGAAATTCATAATATTCAAATCTCTAACATTGCTGTCAAATCACAAATTGAATCGTGAATTGTTTTGCAAAAATAGTGAATCGTAAGATTCACTTTATTTAGCATAACATATAATTTTATTCATGTATATACATATGAAAATACAAATATAGTGCTTAAAATCAAATAAATATCAATATAACTAAATTGTATATATGTATATACTATGTAGCATGGACACAGACATGCCAACACATTAATTTTCAAAAACTGAGGGACACGACACTCTAAGGACACGTTAAAAAATATGTTTATTTATTTATATAATATACCTCATATATATAAATATTTCATTTAAAATTAAGAAAAAATATATATAATTTAACATTAACTAAAAATTTAAACATTACAAAGTCACTCACGTGGCACACAATCACCAAACCAAACCAACTCTTAAGTCCCATCAAATAGGGTCGGCTACATGAATTCTTATTCCCTCCGCGGCCTTATCAAAGGCTATTTCTTTGGTGGATGCTAGCTGTTTTAACCTTTTGACTGGTAGGTGAAAGCTTTTAACAGATAGGTGAAAAGCTTTCACGAGCTTTTAACTGGTTGGTGGAAGCTTTCATGAGCTGTACTCCCTTTTCTTAGAAGACAAAATGAGTAATTAAACAATGGTTACAGCAAGAGGCTTTTGCTCTCATTGCAAAAGGAAGTTCAGTCTCTTTCTCTCTCTCCCCCCTCTGTGTTAATCACAGGTGGAAGCTTGGTTTTCTTCTCTCTCATCTCTGTGTCGCAATTGGGGCTTCGAACTGCTTCAAATAGTGCCCGATGGGTCTCGTCTCAAACATGTGGGCTGAATGGAGGCTACTGAGCTTCAATTTCAAGGACCCTCTCAAGCTAGGGTTTCAAACAATTCCAGACATGTTTCAAACATGTCAATGAAGAGTCCAAGACGTCAATAAGCCTCTGCACGGTTCAGGCCGGGCCGGGACAGGACAGACCACTTTTGACCTTTACTCGCAACCTAATTGAACATGATCAGGTTACAAATTTACAAACCAATCTTGACCGCTCGTAGTTTTAGAATTGACCGTTCATGTCAATCGAGTTGGCGGGCAGGTCTGTGGATTGGTAAAATTCAAGAATTCAACATAATATGAAGAAAAAAAAAAAATTGGAGGAAAGAGAGATTCAAAGTTCATGAAAACAATTTGGAGCTGATACATACATTACATAATGATTTTAACAAACCAACAGATATAGATCTGAGAAAGATAATAGATAAAAGAAAATGGAAAAAAACATGAGTGAGAGGAAAGCGACTCGCCACAGCCACGAACTCATAGCCACCACCACAGCAACCGCTCATCACCATCGCTGCCACGTATCAACACCATCCACGATCTTCCACCACCACCATCGAAGAGGGAAGGGAATAAGGGTTTTCTATATGAGATCTGTGAAAGGAGAGTTGGGTTTCAATGCACATAGCTAACTTGAGAGAGAGAACAGAGAGAGACACAAAGTTAACGTTTAGAGTTAATTTCAAGAAGAGACAGAATGGGAAACGACTATGCTTCTAGAGAGTCCAATCATCTGACTCCTCTTGAAAGATGTGAATAAATAAACCTGGGAAGACAAGTTTATATTAAAAAAATTAAATTGAGAAGACAAATATAATCTTGACTTTTATAGGAACTTGGGAAGCCAAACAGGTGGTTTAGTGGCTATTAAATAATGAATATAAATATAGTGGTTGGGTTGGTTTTGAAGGTTTCGATATATCTAGACCTGTACTCCAATCGAAATTGAAGGTAGCGTTTGGTTTACTTTTCAAAACTCAACTCTATTTTTAAATCATGATTTGGATGAAACATGTTAACCAAACATATTTTTAAAATACAACTCAAAATTACCTTCAAAACTCTACTTTTCTCTTCTTCTTTTTTATTATTATTCAATCAATCAATCACTTTTTTCCTCTCATCTCTCCTCTCTCCTTTCAAATTCTCTCACATTTTATACATCAATCAATCAAAAAAAATAAAAAAAATTTTACAAATCATCCTAAAACTATTTTCAAAACTCATAACCAAACAAAATTTCTCTTTTCAAATCACAATTCAAAAACTCAAAACTCAAAACACAACTCCACAGTCAAATCATAATTCTAAAACTAAACCAAACAGACCTGAAAATTCTTAACTCTTAGAACTTCAACTAACCAAACACATTTTCGAAACTACCTACAACTCTTTTAATTCGGGCAGGTGGGTTGGGTTACACGAGTCTATGCATAGCCCTAGTGTCTAAGATGGAAAAAAAAAGCCCCAAACTGCGTGCCAGTCTCTGAAACGTAGCCTTGGGAGATATGTCGGTGTTTCATAGTGTATATACATATAAAGTCACGTATATCAATGTACCTACTCCCTCCGTCCCAAAATAATGGTCCCTTTTGGAGAATTTAATTTTTTTTGATAGTATAATTATTGCACTTTAAAAAAATTGATTTTCCAAAATTATCCTTTGATAGTACATTTTTTGAAAAATATCAATGTCATAATTGTACTTTTTATGTTGTTAATGAATTTAAAAGAATGGCAAAATAGAAAATTTATATTATTTTTATACTTGATTTTTAAAAAGGGACTAATATTTTGAGACAATGAAAAATGGAATAAGGGACTAATATTTTGGGATGGAATGAGTAATTAATCTCTATTTCTTTTTTTAAAAAAAAAGAACAAGAAAAATAACGTAAATTCATGCATTATGAAAATAGAATTGAATCGTTTGAATCACAATGAATAGCAATTGAATCATAAGATTCATTCAATTTAAGATTTAGTTTCATGAACCGAATCATTTTGTTGGAGTTTGACACTCGTATTCAATCGTATGAATCAAATCGTCAATTGTAAGATTCTAACCACCATGATTTTTGACACAAGCAACAAATTCGTTAGTTGCTTTCAAAATCAATGTCTACACCACCCTTCCATTCAACTTCTTCCTTTTATCACATTAAAATCCTAAAAAACACCCAAGGCAAGTTGAAAGCTCTATTCACTATGTGGTTATGTCCTTCCAAAGCCTTCGCCCATCATTACATGGTTTGAACCATAGACAATGAAAACAACATAAGACTTTCCAATTCATCTCAGTGTGCCTTGAGGGGGCAGATTCCTACAACTCCGCCTTGACCTTATTGGTACAAATTTGGGTGTTCCAAACGAGGTAGAGGTGGGTTCAGAGGTGAGCAAATAAAACCCAATTGAGTTCAAGAAACAATAGGGCAAGGGTAGTTTTGCCCCACTCTTGACCCGATTATATGTGAAGATACTTTTTGTAGATTCTCTAAAACACCATTCTATATGTATGTAGTGCTTACGATTCCTTCATTGTTGTCTTCTCTGTATTTTAGTTCCTCTTCAAATGCCTATAGTTCCTCATTATGGTATCGTCTCATCAGCTTCAACTCTACTACTATCTACTCCTTCACCAGCCATTCCTCTCCTTGTAGTTCCTTCTCTGCCAGCAACTAGCCCTCTGCCATCTCCTTCACTTCTTGCACTATCCCCTCCACCCGTTGTTCATCCACCTACACTGCCCAAAGAGGTTCTTGTATCCGCTCCAAGCAAGAAGCCAACATCTCCCCTGCCTTAGCAATTATGTTGAGTCAACTGACACGGAGTCTAGAATCTGCATCGCCTACACCAACTACTTCAGATTGGGTGTGCAATTTTAGAAATCTCATCCCTGGCATTTCTCAAACGGGTATGACATGGTATAATGAGCAAAATATGTGACATCAAACATATATTTGAGCACTTCAGCTAGTGACATTGTGTTTACAATGACAAATTAGTAAATATATCTATTTTAATGCCTAAGAGGAGGCAAGGCAAGGCGTGACAAGGGAGAACACATTTGGGATAAAGAGAAGGGCCAAACTTAGCAGGGCAAGCTTTAGAATGGTGCCCGTCCCATACCTGCGAAATCAGCATCCCTTTACATGACCGTACCCGTAATCATTGGGACTATTATACAGATTGCTTGAACAACAACCATGCATTCATTCCATCCCACCCAAATTCTAACCACTTAAGATTTAAATTTTTAACAAATTATCATAAATATTTTTAAAGCAAGAAGCAAAGCCTTTGTACAGAGTTTACGAGGTGAAAGAGCAAATACTTCCCCCACATCAAAAGAATAAAAAAGATAGTCAGTAGGGAGGTCCCTCATAAAACTATTAAAGTAACATTATCCCATAGGTTGACCTCCCTCTAGATTAAAATTGCTATCATCTAAGGCCTCGTTTGGGAACAGGCTAATTTAGTAACTTTTTGGCTATTTGGCTAAAATATGGGCTAAAAAAAACTAGTATGTTTGGGATGACTTTTTGACTTTTTACGAAAAGATGTGCAAAAAGTAGAGAGAAAAGAGAATCTTTGACTTTTTGCTATAGGTTGTTCGTTTTTTGACTTTTTTAATAAATTTTGGACTTTTTGGCTAAACCGGCTAGTCCCCAAACGAGGCTTAATTTAAAACAATTTCTAGCAATCTATCGGAATGATTAGGATATCTGAATAAGACAATCAAGTGAAAAGAAGGCATTTCATAAGTATATATAAGCATGACCTACCTATAGCAAAAAGGCAGTAGTCAACCAACATTACCATTAGGATACATTAATGACAAGATTGATTCTATATACAAAGAACCCTTGAACTATCATTCACCTATTTATATGAGAGAGAGAGAGAGAGAGAGAGAGAGAGAGAGAGAGACGTAGAACTTACTTCTGCCGTCACTTTCCTCTTATCTTCCAAATCCGCTTTATTCCCAGCAAGTGCCATCACCATGTTAGGATTACCTATAATAACCCATAAAATGATTACATTACAGCAACATTTGACCGAGAAAGACCAACCCCAACAAGGGTGTTCTTATGTAGAAGCACAGGGGAGATATAGTCAGCCAAATATCTATAAAGAAATAAAAACATAGACATAATGGGATGGTAATATGGTTTTTGGAGTGAATGATAAAATTTTACCACAACGGACTCCTTTCTAGCATATTGTAACATTCTGTTTTTGTTTCTTCATTCTTCCCAAGAACCAAATCAAATGTAAAATGTCTAATGCTGAAAGGAAAGGCAAAAGTCCTTATACTCTAGTTTACTCTGTTTAAATAAACTCAATGAGTTCAAGCCTATGCACCTTGTTTCTGAAGTTCTTGCACCCATTTCTTTGCCCGCGTAAATGAATCCTAATTAATTCAAAAAAGGGAGGGATCCAATCAGCTAGGTAAAATAATAAGTAAATGTGTTAAATCTTAACGAAGCAACATCTTTCAACAATGGGTGGTGTGCATTCAATTGCCCAAAATACAAGATAGGACTAAAAAGAATCCCACAAAATATGAACCAAAAATACAAGCATGTTATCAAAACCTATTACTAGATTGAAGTCAATAGATGTGTATATTTATGCATATATAAAATGTATCTATATGAAGCTCAATCTGAACAAAGGAAGATAGTCTAACCGTGCTAGTGATGTCGTAAACGATGATAGCAGCAGCTGCACCTCTGTAGTACATTGGGGCTAAGCTGTGATACCTCTCTTGGCCAGCGGTATCCCAGATCTCGAATTTCACAGTCGCGTCATCAACCGCTAGCGTCTGCGAGAAGAACGCTGCTCCGATCGTCGATTCCTATATCATTGATCATCATCGTCATCATCATCATCATCATCAAAAAGCACAAAATTATTAAAGAAGAAAAAGTTCAGCAAAACCCTCGAGAATGTGAAACGAAAGCTTGAGATCAGAGTATTGGTGACCAATCAGTACCTGGAATTCGAGGAATTGGCCCTTGACGAATCGCAATACGAGGCTCGATTTACCAGCTCCCATGTCGCCGAGCAAGACCTGAGTAGTGAATTGTCATCGGAAACTCAAAACCAAGTTAAAACGAAAAAATCAATAGAACAAAAATTACAATTATATATATGTATGTACAGAACTCACGAGTTTTGCATTGAGATTGTTGTGTCCCATCGTCGCCATGGAAACACAGATCGATGGACGGAGGTTTTTGGAGAGAGAGAGAGAGAGAGAGAGAGAGAGAGAGTCACAAGTAAAATAATTGTATAATATTAGATCAAAATATAAGAATGAAGGAGACGAAAATGGGTATTTGTAGTTGGCGGCCGTAAAGAAAATTCAATGGACCGACCCGTCCAATTGGAAATTGATCCAAATTCTTGTTTTTAATTTATGGGTTGGAAATTTGATTAAAAATTAACCATTTCTCACATCATAACATATTATTTATTTTGATTTTGAAATTTTTGTATTGATACAAATTGTATAGATTGAATATTATATTTAAATATTTTTATATTATAATTTTTTGTTACACATTACAAATTATATAAGAAATAATTAATATAATATTTTTTTTGAACAAAATTAGAGAGAAATATGAATAAATTATAATTTTAGTCCCTAAAATCTAATACTTTTTCGTTTAAGTTGTTAAAGTTTTAATTTGTCAATTAAATCTCTAAAGTAAATTAGAATTAATTTAGTCCTGAAGGTAATATAAAAATAGAACATAAACCTAAAAGTTATATAAAATTGTGATGATGCCTAGATTTTAATTTATTATTAACTTAATTATCTTCTTTATGTGTGGTTTTATAATTTGTATATTTCTCTTGGACTGATTAATTCTAATTGCTTATATAGGTCTTCTTCTATTTCTATTCTAATATTATTTATTTATTTATTCTAATAAGCAATTATCCATTTTATTTGATTTTTTTGACTATTCCTAATATTATTTTATATTTCATTTCATTAACTTTTTCTTGTTTCACCATTATTTATAATTCGTCTATACTGTGGAGTGTTTTGAGAAGATGATTAAAAGTTACTTTTTGATTTTTTTTAATTTTTTTGTGAGAGAAAAAAGTGGGTTAAAAGCTGGAAAGTAGCTTTTAACCTACTTCCCAAAATAGCCTATAATTGCTTGCATTTATTTTTTTCATTTTTCTAGTGCTATTTATTCAAAAGATTCCCTTGAAGAATTCCCTGCAAGGATAAGGATACTTATTTGTATTATTTTTTATAATAGCTAACTGCTTACCTTTATCTAATAATATATGTTGAATTTCATGTATAATTTGTACTTGATTTATTTAAGATTTTCATTAAGTTCTTTTAATAACCTCATTATAGTATTATTTTATTTAATAATTATTTGTAGTGCAATTATTTAAATTATCTTATTTGACTTCTTTAGTGTATCTAATGTTAATATATTAATATTAACCAAACTTTAATATCAATTCTAAAAGCACATGCAGAAAATAATTAAGTTAACAATAAATTAAAATTCAGACCTTATAACAATTTTATATTACATTTGGGCTTATGTTTTATTTTTATATTTTCTTTAGAACTAAATTGATTCGGATTTAATGCTTTAAAGACTTAATTGATAAAATTGGAACTTCAAGGACTTAAACGAAAAAAGTGTTAAACTTTAGGGACTATAATTATAATTTATTCAATATTTATAGAGTAATTTTCATACACTTTCTTCATTTATTTTAACTATAAAATTTTGTGATCTATTACAAAACCCTTTAAAATCTCATATAAATTTATCTTTTATATCAAATCAATAAAATCGAACCGTAACATTCGGTATATAACGGTTTCTCGAATGAATTTGATGCTAAACATGCCCTCAATACCAATCAAAGCAAACCGTGTACACCCCTAATTCTCGTAAAGGCCATAAAAAGTGAGGTTTATTTGTATTTGCATTTGGAAATTTTAAAGCCAACAATTTCATTAACAATTGTTATGGGCATTTTTAAAAGGAATGAACCATACATCCACTGTGCAAAACGCAATTAATCAAGGCCATAAAGACATGTTTTTTAGAATAATATATGTATGGGTGATTTTTCGACCACACTGCCAACTCAGTATTCAGCTAGAGAGTACTGGCAGAATAGATGGCAACTGTCTAACCTGCAACAGAAAGAGAAAATTCCGGCAGTAGTTCATCCACCCGGGGGCACTCCGACGATCAAGTCAGTACTTAATATCTCTCAAAGAGAACCAATAGTGCTTAACTCACTAGACAGAATATCAAAAGCATAAAGGACATACCTTAGACCCATGGGGGTGCCTCTCTTTTATAGTCAACATAATCCTAGTCCCAATAGAAGCCTAGCTCTAATGGACTTAGGATTACTGCTAATTTTGGACTCCCAGTAGGATTAGGATAAACTCTCTAAGAGTTTTATCTTTACCCAAACTGAAATCTTCTCCCTTTCTAGGACTCTTGTCCCTTACCCGCTTATCTCGGGTTCCGGTATTGCCATAGAATACCTCGGCAATGCCCCAAATATCTCGACAAACATGATCTCCCTACGTAGCACCTCGACTAACAACCTCGGCCACGTGGACTACCCAAAAAATATATTCCCACAACTGCCCCCAAGGTTCTATTACTTCAGCAAACTAAGGTGATGGAACCTATATTATCTCTTTCATCTAGCACGTCGGCTAAGCTTGCTTCATCATTTATTGTCGAAGTCAGAACTCGTCGGCTCAATATGACCCAGACCTATAGTCTGCTTTCATCAGGGCTTTGGAACCAACAACCAAATTCGTTCAAGTTTCTCAGCTGAAACTGTCCTTTTAGCCGAGGTATTTGTTTCATTAAATCAAGAACTTCAAGAGTTTTTCTTCATACGTATGATCTGGCACGTACAATTTTTCAACTGTTTCTGCCACGCATCTTTCCTCTACTGAGCTGTGTCTGATACATGTCATTAAGTCGCCTTGCATCTGTGTATTTTGATCAAAATCTCTTCACTCTCTCCGTCTTTTCATTTCTACATCTTTGTTTTTGTTCAAATCCTTTATTGCTGCTTTTGCGAAGCTGTCTACAACCAGTTTCACTCTCCCCTCTGGCGAGGCTTCTGCTGCACTTCCTTGCTTACGGCCACTGTCTGATCCCGACGAACTTTACTTCTACTTTATTGCTTTACTCGTTCATGTCTTTTGATCATTTAACCTGTATCTTGAATTTCACCATGTACTGAACATGTACTGTCTTTGTACCTTGTACTTTTTTTGGTTTACTTAAACAATTTATTCTTCAATGTCAGGCTGAAGTGCCTTCTTTCCTTATCTGAATGCACTTTTTAACTTCTTCTTTCAAGTGTTTTGAATGCTTACCCTCTTCTTAATGCCGTGTATGATTCCATACTTAGAATACAATTTGCATGTCTTCAACATACACCTTAAATGTGCAATCTCCCCTGGTTAACATACCTCGGACAAAACTTCCGACCTTGTTTATCTCGGTCTCGATTTAACACTTGAAAACATTGTAACAAATATTTTCACAAGTGTTGTTTTTACTTCTTAAGACTTCTGTCTTCCATTATTTTCCAAGTCTTGGTAACATAGTCACCTCGGCACGTGTATAGATACTCCTTTCACTCACAACCTTGGATTTAACTTCAACTTGTAAATTTTCTCAAAATTTCAACAAGTGTTAAATCAATCTTTTTTCTCGGTTTAACATCAACTTGTAAATTCTCTCAGAGTTTCAACAAGTGTTAAACATCATCTCGGTTTAACTTCAACTTGTAAATTCTCTCAAGTTTCAACAAGCGTTAAACATCATCTCGATTTAACTTCAACTTGTAAATTCTCTCAGAATTTCAACAAGTGTTAAACATCATCTCGATTTAACTTCAACTTATAAACTTTTCTCAAGTTTCAACAAGTGTTAAACATAATTTCGGTTTAACTTCAACTTGTAAATTCTCTCAGAATTTTAACAAGCGTTAAACATCCTCTCGGTTTAATTTCAACTTGTAAATTCTCTCAGAATTTCAACAAGTGTTAAACATAATCTCGGTTTAACTTCAACTTGTAAACTTTTCTCAAGTTTCAACAAGTGTTAAACATAATTTCGGTTTAACTTCAACTTGTAAATTCTCTCAGAATTTCAACAAGTGTTAAACATAATCTCAGTTTAACTTCAACTTGTAAATTCTCTCAAAATTTCAACAAGTGTTAAACATGATCTCAGCTTGTGAAATTTCAACTCCCAAGCATCATTCTTCAGCCCTTTGTCCCCTAATATGAACTTAAGTTCCACTTGAGTTCTCATTAGGTACGTGGCTTTGACCTTGATATTGCTCTATAGGCAGGGGATCTGCCCCCTGCATGGCTTCTACATACCGTTCTGTGTAAAAAAAATTCTTTAACTTAGGCTAAGCTCTTCTCTTCTCGGACTTAATCATCTAAGCCGAGATCTTGTCTTCTGCGATCTGGGATTCCAGATTTGGAATCTGGGATCTACTCACTTGGGCTAAGCTCTTGTCTTCTCGTGTCCAGTATTATCTCGGCTTTGCTTTGGCGAACCATTTATCTTCTCTTGTTTGGACGCCTTTGTCCCCGGCGTGTCTTCCTCGACTCTGTCATACTTTTCTATTTTGGCCATCAGCTCCTCCATGCTTTTCGGCAATGTCTTTGCCAGTGATTTTCGAAGCAGGCAGTTATCCTTCAAGCCGTTTTTAAACGACATGACCGCCACTTCTTGGTTGTATCCTGGTATTCGGTTGAATACCTCATAATACCTTTTGGCATAGGCCCTACGGCTTTCATCCTCGCCGATCTTCAGGGCCATTAGGGCGTCTACCCTCAATGGTTGTAGCTTGTTTGTCACGAACCTGGCCACAAACATCTTAGCCAGGCCTTTCCAGGCTTTCACAATTCCTTTCGGCAACTTGTGAAACCAGTCCGATGCAATTTCTCCAAAGGATAAGGGGAACACCTTGCAGAGCAACGGCTTGTTCCCGGTGTACAACGTTATCGAGTTTAGGTACAAGCCGACATGAAAGTTGGGGTCCAATTTACCATTGCAGATCTAGAATCTCAGCATGCTAAACTTTTTCGAGGCTTCGAATATGTCCAATTCTACCGAAAACGGCGTTCTCGGCTTGACCGGGGAGATTACCTCGGCATCTTGTTGCTTCTTCTGTAGGTGATCTCTCAAGTCCTCCTTGGTCCGCCCAGGAGCTCGTCTATCTCCTGACTTTAATCTTTTCGGTGCACTGTTCTCAGCTTCGTTATGAGTCCTTTTTGACCT